CACACATATATATATATATATATAATATTACACACACACACACACATATATATATATATATATATATATACATATACATATACATATATACATATATTTATATATATATATATATATATATATATGTATGTATATATATATATATATATATACATATATATACATATATATATATATATATTCTCTTAGATTATACATATATAAATCGCCGTACATGTGGGATGGGCCATTAGTGACACTTCCTTCATGGACACACGTTGTGAATACTTAACAGATTAAAACTCTGCCCGTTAACTATGCGACGTGTCGCTTTGGATCTAAGACCATCCTATGCATGCGAGCATCGCTACTCGGTCAACGTGACACTATTCGTGGTGTAGTGCACAGCGTCACACGGAAGAAAGTATCAGACGTAACTACGTCTGAACATTGTAGTTTAACTACGCTCGAGGCATGTAATTCGTCACCAAACCCATCACAACACTGTCATTCCAACAGGTGTTACGTAGTCGACTACTCTGGTACTACTGATAGAGTCATTATTTGATTGGCACGCGCTGTAAGTTCGTACCTGCGTCTCTCGTCTCAGTCATCATTCGATAGACAAGTGATGTCATTTCGTGATGTCATTTCGTCTTTAACATACAGCTATCGAAAACACACTTGTACACTAATCCGCCGTATCTACAGCACAAATCACAACACTCATGTACCCACAAACATTACTTTGTCACCGTCCCTGCACCGTAGGTTTCCCCCTACCGCTCAACTATCGGTACTAAAATTGGTCACTTATCCGCTTATATTTGCCGTACAAACCACTTAGCCGGTTTTGTACTAAATGGTACCTTGTCCACGTCTCTTGTCTCGGTCATCATTCGATTAATAAGCGCTGTGATCTCGTTCTCAACGTGATGATCCCTTGGGAGTGCAATAGCCTGAGTATTGTGCAGGAACAGACGGTACATATTGATCACTATGGAAACAGGACAACGGTATAAACATGAATATGGAAACACAACATATGGTATATACATCATTAAAGATATACATAAATGGTTTAAAAACTAATGTAGGGCATAATATTGGCTTAAAAGTATCAGGGTTCCAGATATATAGCTGTGCATGCGCTAAATTCTGCAGTAGTACCACTTCAATTCAGCAACAACAATTTGCGAGAGATATAAATCGGGATACACTGTAAAAATTTAAACGACTTTCCGTAGCCAGGCTATGAGGATTCTATACACACAATACAAGCACCGAAAACTCTAAACCCTATTTTTTTTCTTCAAACATTACATACATACACATCACCATACACACCACTTGAAGGAGAAGGCGGGAATGTTGTAGCACTGTCCCTGATGACCATCGCCGACTGAGATAGACCCACCAGTCACTGATAAGATACCTGACGGCAAACGATGTGCTTAACACGTGTGTGAAGAGATTGTGTTCCAGCCACCTGCAGTATACACGTGGAAACACATATTGTCAGGTATACGGTCTAAATGAGATGATATCCAGGTTTCGAGCAGAAACTCCCAATTCTCATAACAGACGATATAGTGTCGTATAATAGTACACATGGGTGATCCGAGCAACTTCGCCAATTTCGTCTTGGGGGTTGAGTAATGCATACACACATCAATCCCAGGCTCACCTAATACGGTCTTCGAAGGTCTCCTCCGTGCCATTGAACAGCAAGTTAACACTATGGGCACACAGAGCCGTCAACACGTGCGTGTAGATGCTTGTGTTCGTTGTACTGGATCCAACCATTCGTGGGTCACCGATAAGCGTGTAGAGGGATGGCCACAGAGAAAGTATTGCACTCAGTGCGCCATGCTCTTGATTTAAAAATAGATCATGTGTGGCGCTTGGAAGCGTATCCATCACGCATAGGAGCTGGCTCAGCATCACGACGTACGCCAGTTTGGCCTCTGAGACACCATGGCGTTGGTGCGTAAAGGTAGCGGTTGTGATTAGTGGCGCGTTTACAGAGAGAGTTTGAAGGGGAAAATGTATACTAGAAACTGTTTAATGTCATGTCGTGTCGAAGTTAACATATAGATATGGCGACATTGGGATCTGTAAAGGAGAAATACTTGTCGTTTTGGAGCTAACGTGCTAAACGCATAAGCCAATAAATATCGTCGATGCCAAGTCTACAAGCTGGGAGTGTGGGTCTAAAAAAGACGGCTGTGAGAAGCAGATCGATCGCCACATACAAACCCTGACAAACATATATATGTATTTATGTA